TTAAATATTTAGCTTGCAAGTTAAATATTTAGCTAGCTAGCTAAATATTTAACTTGCAAGCTAAATATTTAACTTGCTAGCTAAATATTTACGTTGCAACCTAAATATTTAAGTTACTAGCTAAATATTTAGGTTGCAACTTAAATATTTAAGTTACTAGCTAAATATTTAGGTTGCAACTTAAATATTTAAGTTACTAGCTAAATATTTATCTTGCTAGTTAAATATTTAACTTGCTAGCTAAATATTCAAGTTGCAAGCTAAATATTTAAGTTTCAAGCTAAATATTTAGCTTGTTAACTAAATATTTAATTTGTAAGTTAAATATTTAGTTTTTAAACTATGACATTTATAAATGTATGAATCATATGGTAAAAAACTGACTCAAAATAAATCTGTTCTTTTTTCTTATAAAAATCTAAATAAAACAAAATGTTTGCGGTAGTTTTTGACTGTAACGTTACAAACATGACCTCATGCGGTTCCTGCAGGTCTCTTCTCGTCTCATTTCTCCTCCAGATGCCGTCGTTTGGGTTTCTGGACAGTTTGGAGCTTTTCTTGGAGGCAGGAAAGTTTCCTRCTGATGCCTCTAAGAGTTTAAAGAAGTCCCTCCGAGCTGCCAGCAAACGCTTCATCTTTAAAGGTGAAGAAACACCTTTATTCTCCAGGAGGGGCGGAGACTCTATGACATCATCAGTGTTAAACAGGAAGTGCTCCTCTTGCYCCTGCAGATGGCTCTCTGTGGCGATGCTATCGAGGTCGCCTCCTCCGTGTGGTCCGAAGTGAACAGGAGGTGCGGGAGATCCTGACCCGGTACCACAACAACAACAACCACGCGGGCCGGGAGCGGGTGGTGAGGGAGATCATGGTGAGTGTGAGCGTGTGTTGGCGTGGCGTTGGCGTGACTCTGGAGCTGATGTTAGCTACTTCCTGTGGCGTGCTTCCAGCTCATGTACTACTGGGTGGGAGTGACGGAGACCGTGAAGAACTGGGTCAAGTCTTGCTCCRTTTGTCAGGAGCGGCCTCCTCATCAGAACCAACCGGCGGTTCTGCTCTGCCTGGTCTACGGCTGCGACGCCTCCAGCTACGCCTTCCCTGAGCTCACCTTCCACAGGTTAGACGCTGACTCTTTACGAACACAACCAGCAGCTGGTTCTTAAAGCGGTTCCAGGCCTGTTGGTTTTTAATCGTCCACTTCCTGCAGGTTCCCTAAAGACGCGGAGCTGAGGAGGAAGTGGCTGGAAGTGGCTCAGAGGGACGAAGGCTCGCTGCGAGCCTCCTCCTACGTCTGCTCCCGACACTTTGAGCCCAGATGTTTCTGTGTGAGTGAGGACGGCCTGCTGACCCTGTCCCCAGACTCTGTCCCCACCGTCCTGCCTGTCAGGGTGCAGGGCACCGAGGTCAGCAGTCTCACACTGTTTACAGTCAGCACTTCTTCAGCTGCTACTTTAGCATTTTAGCTGCTGTTCTGCTACTTTATCTGGTTAGCTTTTTACTGCATTTAGCATTTTAGCTGGTGTTCTGCTTCTTTATCTGGTTAGCTTTTTACAGCATTTAGCTTTTAGCTGGTGTTCTGCTTCTTTATCTTCTTTTAGAGTCCGTTTTAAAATTCTCCTGTTTGTTTTTAAGGCTTTAAACAATCTCGCCCCATCTTATTTAACAGAGCTTCTTCACCGTTACACCCCTCCTCGATCACTCAGGTCTGCTGACCAGCTGCTCCTGGTCATTCCCAGTTGTAAAAGGAAGCTCAGAGGAGATAGGGCTTTYTCTGTTAGTGCCCCTAAACTCTGGAACTCCTTGCCCCTACAGGTCCGACAGGCCCCTTCACTGCCCATTTTTAAGACT